TAACAGCCATTGGTGGACCTATCCTCCGTGAATTTATCTAGTTCTTTTTTGAACCCTGTTATGGTCTTGGGCTTCACAACATCCTCTGGCAAGGAGTTCCACAGGTTGACTGTGCGTTGTGTGAAGAAATACTTCCTTTTATTTGTTTTAAACCTGCTACCTATTAATTTCATTTGGTGACCCCTAGTTCTTGTGTTATGAGAAGTAGTAAACAACACTTCCTTATCTACTTTCTCTACACCAGTCATGATTTTATAGGCCTCAATCATATTTCCCCTTAGCCGTCTCTTTTCCAAGCTGAAAAGTCCCAGTCTTATTAATCTCTCCTCATACGGAAGCCGTTCCATACCCCTAATCATTTTTGTTGCACTTTTCTGAACCTTTTCCAATTCCAATATATCTTTTTTGAGATGGGGCGACCACATCTGCACACAGTATTCAAGATGTGGGCGTACCATGGATTTATATAGAGGCAACATATTTTCTGTCCTATTATCTATCCCTTTCTTAATTATTCCCAGCATTTTGTTCGCCTTTTTGACTGCCGCTGCACACTGAGTGGATGTTTTCAGAGAACTATCCACAATGACTCCAAGATCTTTTTCTTGAGTGGTAACAGCCAATTTAGACTCCATCATTTTATATGTATAGTTGGGATTATGCTTTCCAATGTGCATTACTTTCCATTTATCAACATTAAATTTCATCTGACATTTTGTTGCCCAGTCAGCCAGTTTTGAGAGATCCTTTTGTAGCTCTTCGCAGTCTGCCTGGGACTTAACTATCTTTAGTAATTTTGTATGATCTGCAAATTTGGCCACCTCACTATTTACCCCTTTTTCTAGATCATTTATGAATATGTTGAATAGAACTGGTCCCAGAACAGACCTCTGGGGGACACCACTATTTACCTCTCTCAATTCTGAAAACTGACCAGTTATACCTGCCCTTTGTTTCCTATCTTTTAACCAGTTACCAATCCATGAGAGGACCTTTCCTCTTAACCCGTGTCAGCTTACTTTGCGTAAGAGCCTTTGGTGAGGGACCTTGTCAAAGACTTTCTGAAAATCTAAGTACACCATATCGATTGGATCCCCTTGGACCACATGCTTGTTAACCCTCGTCAAAGAATTCTAGTAGATTGGGGAGGCACGATTTCCCTTTACTAAAACCATGTTGACTCTTCCTCAACAAATTATGTTCCTCGATATGCCTAACAATATTGTTCTTTATTATAGTTTCAACCAATTTGCCTGGTATTGAAGTCAGGCTTACAGGCCTGTAATTGCCGGGATCACCTCTGGAGCCCTTTTTAAAAATTGGCATCACATTAGCTATCCTCCAGTCATCTGGTACAGAAGCTGATTTAAATGATAGGTTACAGATGACAGTTAGTAGTTCTGCAATTTCACATTTGAGTTCCTTCAGAACTCTTGGGTGAATACTATCTTGTCCTGATGACTTATTGCTGTTTAATTTATCAATTTGTTCCAAAACCTCCTCTAATGATACCTCAATCTGGGACAGTTCCTCAGCTCTGTCACCTCAAAAGAATGGCTCAGATTTGGGAATCTCCCTCACATCCTCAGCCGTGAAGACCGATGCAAAGAATTCATTTAGTTTCTCTGCAATGGCCTTATCATCCCTGAGTGCTCCTTTAGCACCTCAATCATCCAGTGGCCCCACTGGTTGTTTAGCAGCTTCCTGCTTCTCATGTACTTAAAAAAAAAATTTGCTATTACTTTTTGAGTATTTGGCTAACTGTTCCTCAAATTCTTTTTTGGCCTTCCTAATTATATTTTTACACTTCAGTTGCCAGTGTTTATGCTCCTTTCTATTTTCCTCACTAGGATTTAACTTCCACTTTTTAAAAAGATGCCTTTTTGCCTCTCACTGCTTCTTTTACTTTGTTGTTTAGCCACGATGGCTTTTTTTTTGGTTCTCTTACTATGTTTTTTAATTTGGGGTATACATTTAAGTTGAGCCTCTATTATGGCGTCTTTAAAAAGTTTCCATGCAGCCTGCAGAGATTTCACTTTTGGCACTGTACCCTTTAATTTCTGTTGAACTAACCTCCTCATTTTTGTGTAGTTCCCCTTTCTGAAATTAAATGCTACAGTGTTGGGCCACTGTGATATTTTTCCTGCCACAGGGATATTAAATTTAATTATATTATGTAGAGAGATGGGGGGGGACATAAAAGGAGGAGCGGGGGGGAGGGGGACGGGACAGGTCAAGTCTTCCCTTTTTGGGAACCAGCTCTAAAGGAACAATGAAGTAATCATAAAAGAGCACTCTGGGATTTATCTCCAGACATGTGTGTATGTGAAATATCCGATTGCTAAAATTCACCCTGAGAAATAGCTGGTGAGCTCCAGTGTCATGTAAACACAAACTGGCAAAGCTCTATTCAGTAACATAACCAGGCTGAAGCTCTCACCAGATCTAGTGAATGGAAGAAATCTTGATACCAGCATATCCATTTCATTTAGAGGAAAGACAATACAGATTCTGCTTTCCTTTTCTAATTGATATGTCAGCAAAGCAAGACATGTAGGTAGGCTTGGAAGGAAGCAGTTCTGCCCTTCACCTTTTCTGGCACCTTTTCCATGCTAGTCCCTGTTTTTTGGCTACTCCCTCCAACTCCAAGTCCCCCAAACCTCAAGCTGATGATGCCAGGAATGTGATCACTGCTGGGGACTGAGCAAGAGGGGAACTGCAGTCCAAGTCAAACACAGGCCTTCACAAGACCACTCATTTTTTCCTTGTATGACTTTTCTCTCTGCACGCTAATAACTTCCTATCCTGGGGTGCTAAAGTCTTGAACTCCTATCAACGAGAGGATTCCACTGCTGGGCAGTGCATTTCTTAAGCAGTTCCCTGATCCTGACACAAAGCAGGAGCACTCTTCACTTGCCATCTGCAGGCCAGAGTGGAGAACACCTCCTTCATAGAGCCAGCACTTTGCCATGTAACTCCCAGTTCTCTAAAGAGCAGAGTGGTCAAAGTTTTGCCCATTACTGACCCTGAGAGCCTCCTGTGGCAATCTCCCCTCCCAGCTTACTGGCCCCACCCTTTTCCTGTGGCAACCACATCAGAATAGCCACCCTGGCTCAGACCCAAGATTCTTTGGTCCATTACCCTTGTCAGATCGTGCCAGAACCACATGCTTCAGAGGAAGGTGGAAGACCTCCACAGTAGGCAATAACCTTCCCCCCATAGGCACCCACTCCCCCATAGGCACCCAATGGCAGCCCCCCCGATCAGCACTTCCCACCCGCCAGTGGCCCTGCCGATTAGCATCTCCCCCTCCCTCCCAGCACATCCCACCTGCAGCGTATCAGCTGTGGCATTCAGGAGGCACTGGGGGGAGGGAGAGGAGTGAGGGCGGGGCATGCTTGAGGGAGGGAGTGGAATGGGGCAGGAAGAAGTGGGCCCAAGGTGGAGCCTTGGGGAAAGGGGTGGAGTGGGGGTGGAGTCTGGGGCAGAGCGGGAGGTCGAGCACTCCCCCTCCCCCAGCAAGTAGAAAGTCGGCGCCTTTGCTTCCTCCTACATAGATCCTATCCTGGTTTCTTATAGTTAGGAATTGGCTTAAGCCCTGAACCACAAGGTTAATAGGTTTTAACATCAGAATGGACCATAAGATCATTTAGTCTGACTTCCTGCATATTACAGGCCAGAGAATTTCACCTAGTTCCTGCTGCATTGAGCTCAATAAAGCTTAATATCCCTTTCAAAATTTCTCATTAATTATACTCTGGATATTCTTGATATCTATACAGATATCCAACCCCTTTTTGAATCTTGTTACGTTCTCAGCTTGAATGACTTCCTGTGGCAATCAGTTTCACAGTTTAACCAAAGTGCTTGGTTACATGCAGTAACAATATTAGGAGGGTATGAATGGGACAAGATGTAAATAAACTTGTTCTGATACAATGGCTACAACTACTTGATACATCCCTCTATCCTGCGAGAGGAAATGAACTACCCAGCTACAGGATGGATAATTTTATGTTTACTAGAACAGTCTGACCTCACTTCTGCAGCCTCCAACTTGTCTAACAACATCAGGGCATTTTGGAATTTGGTTCTGCTTGAATGCATTTACTGTACCAGCCACATGGTGGTGTTTCCAAATTTGATCAAGGATGAATTTACACCAGAGACACAAAGCAGCCTCAAGGGTTCCACCAATATGCCTGGGTTTTTGAAATGTAATTATGTCAGGAAAGCCTCTGCAAGCATTAGAAGCCTAGGCTGAGCTGGGATCAACAGGAAGCTTTATGGCATGAAGATGATTTTGTCACAATGATTAAGCAACAACTCCAGCCAGAAGTGTTCTGTAGAACAAGAACTTCCCCCTTCCGTTCTCTCTCACACACACCACACCCCATGATTAATCAGTGGAACTCACTGCCACAAGACAGAAGCCAAGACTTTAGGATAATTAAAAAATGAATTAGACATGTATATGGTTAATAAAATATTCTCTCAGTCACATTAGCTAGAATAAAAGCGTAACAGTATTTCTGTTTCAGAGCACAAACCACCCACTACCCGCCTGGGGTTATGATGAAACTTCCTATATAAGCAGATGAGTGCCTATTTGTTGATTATAGGGTTTCATATCCCTTCCACTGGCACTTGCCACCATCAGAGAAAATATTGGGCTAGATGAACTACTGGTCTGATCCAGTCTGGAAATTCCTACGTTTCCTTTCCATGGAACACAGTTTAAGAACCACTATTGCACAGCAATCACCATACCCAATTACCAGACAGTACCGCAGGCTGGACATTTTCATGAAATTCAGGACATTTTTATACAAGCCTTGACTAAGGGTGGACAGATTACAATTAGAATGTAGACCACTAACATGGGCAGAACAAACTTGCCCAGATTCAGAAGAAAACAAACCAAGACAGACTCCAAAAGCTACTAAATCATCCTTAACAGAAGACAACAGGAACTGGAGCTAAGTTCCAGCCAACCCTACCTGTCCAAAATGCGCAGGATAGCCCAACATGTGCATGTACAGTAGTTTTGCCACATTCCGGCAGCGGTATGTATTATCCTCTTCCCTGAAGGATGACCGGATGGCAGCACATTCTTTCTGAATCATTTCACGCTCTTCTGCTTGGGTTCGTGCTGTCCGGATGGTCCGGATCAGCTCCCGCAGTCTGATGGGGGCTGGCATCCTCTGGGAGAGGGGAGAAAAAGAAATGCATGTGTAAAACCTCCACAACAAAAGGAAACTTCACAGCCTTCTCAGCTTTCAATATGGAAGAGCGTTTTCCTCCTTGCCCTATGGCTATGGATTATGGAGGGTCCGGCTCCTAGGTGGAGGCGCACAAGCTCTCACCCGCAGGCACCACCCCCCCCCCAGCGGAGTCAGTGCTCTGGGAGCGTGGGTGCAGTGCGCGGAGCCCCATGGCCCCCCTGCCTAGGAGCCGGACCTGCTCCTGGCTGCTTCCGGGGCTCAGCACGGTGTCAGAACAGGTAGGGACTAGCCTGCCTTAGCCAGGCAGCACCGCCGACAGGACTTTTAACGGCCAGGTCAGTGGTGCTGACTAGAGCCGCCGCGACCCAGTCCCTTCCATTCCACGACCCAGTTCTGGGTCGAGACCCACAATTTGAAAATCACTGCTCCAGGAACCACACGCACTGAGCATCCAAAGCTCCCAATTAATTCAGCTGCAGTTGTGAGTACTCAGAACATCAGAGCCCAGCTGACTCAAGCTGGGCACCCAGAAGATGAGGAACACCCACATACCTGTCAAAACACTGCTTTCAGTAACATGCCCAGTATCACATAGCATGTCTATACTAGAGCTAGGGATGGAACCCAGTTTTCCTGGGTGGTATTTCAACTGCTTTAAATGTAAAACCATCCTCTCTTCCTGCAGTCCCTGCTTCAACTGGTTGATCTTGGAGTATCTGCCAGTCCATCGCGATCTCTGGCCACTAAAAGTACAATGGCGCAGCGGGGCTGAGGCAGGCTGCGTGCCTGTCTTGGCCTCACGTCACTCCCAGAAGCGGCTGGCTGCTGGCACGTGTCTGCGGCCCCTGGGGGCAGGAAGAAGGCGGCTCCGTGTGCTGCCCCCGCCCCCAGCACCGTCCCCACAGCTCCCTGGCCAATGGGAGCTGCAGGGGCGGCGCTTGCGGGCACGGGCAGCACACGGAGACCCGCTGCCCACCTCCCCCCAGGGGGCGCAGAGACGTGCCAGCAGCCAGCCGCTTCCGGGGGCGGCGTGGGGCCATGGCAGGCAAGCAGCCTGCCTCAGCCCCGCTGTGCCGCCGACCGGGAGCCACCTGTGGTAAGAACCTCCCTCCCAGAGCCCACACCCCTCATCCCCTCCCACATCCCAATCCCCGCCCCAGCCTGGAGCCCCCTCCTGCACCCAAACTCCCTCCCAGAGCTTGCACCCTTCACTCCTGCACCCCAACCCCGTCCCAGGCTCAGCCAATGCACACCCCACAGCTGAAAATGTTACACTGATTTGTGACAAATCCCTGAAGGATTTTGGATCTTTAAACCACAAATTACACTAATAAAAAGTAAAACTCATGAAATGTCCAGTGGATTCTATGAGATTAGGTGCAGTGTGACCATATGACCCCTGCACCGAAACTCCCTCCCAGAGCTTGCACCCCAACCCCCTGCACCAGGCTCAGCATGGCACCCTCCTCCCCCCCCCCCCCCCCCCCCCCCCCCC